GTGCCGTGGTCAGAGGGGGAATTGGCCCCCGAGGCTGGTGCAGCATCACTTCTGCATGGCAACCCACACGCAGCTTCAGCATCAGGAAATGTCTCTTGCCATTCAGTGCCCAGCAGAGATGGACACCTACCTAAAGGGCCCCTTATATAATGAAGGAAACTGTAATCTTACAAATTATTCTGCCAAAAGCGGCATGAAAAATTATCAGAGGAAGCCCTACAAGGCACCTGGACTCCCTGGAAGCAAATTTACCGCACCAATCTCAGTAATAACAGCACCTAGCTAGGTTTAGAGCTCTGGTGCTTCTCTCTGTGCTAGCTCAGCCACTCATCTGTTTCTTGCAAGTTCAGCTTCCTGAAGCATTGCAATTCTGTCTACAGTCAAAATGATTTCTCTAAACTTAGGAGCTTGTTTATTTTTTTTCTAAAAGCTCTCGAAGACTCATTTTCTGCAAAATACTCAGAAAACACAGCTTGAGAAGCAAAATTCAGGTGGGTTTAATGGTGCCTCCAGCTGTGCCTCATTTTAAAGTCACTGTTTATTCAACAGAATCAATGCAAAGGAGAATTAACTCAAGTTACCAAATACTTTAAATGTCATGGTCTGAAAAATAGTTTAGGAGAGTAACACTGCTGCCACTTGGACTATTCCCCTTCTACTTGCCTCTCTCCTTAAAACCCAAGGGATTTCTCATATCATATGCTGTCAGAGGAGACAAAATGAATATAACTCATATAACGTTGTAGGGAATTCCATGTGTTTCTAACCCTGAAAGCACTAGTACTTTAAGGTGTGGTGTAGGAAATGGTGTTGTGAAGTAAATCTGCAGCCTTGCCAGCAGCAAATAAAATAAAGCCCATGTAATTTTTGACACTTGCTCACTGCCTGTCCTTTCAGCTGGAATTTCACTTGGGTCTGCCTGAATTTAATTCTAGCACTTTCACTCAACCTAGCTCTGGAAGTTCCTGCGGTTCTCATTCCACCAGAGATGACCCCTGGCCAAATGCAAGGACGGCTTAACCTGCAGAGGATGAACACAGAATTGCAGTGAACCTTTTCAGAAGATACTGGCCAGACTCTCAGTTGTTCATCACATTCAGGCTCACCCAGAGGACTGAAAAACCTCTCCAGCTAAAGGAGCACAGGGCTTCTGGATCCTGGGCTGCTCCCATTGCATGGCTGGTGCAAAAAATATCCCAGAACACAGCTGTGCCTAGATACTCTCCTCAATAGCAAGGCTGAGACCAGCTCAAATTCCCTTCACACCTCTGTCCTGGTGGCTGTAGCTCTTGGGATGTGAGAGAGCAGAGCTTGCCCATTATTTGTGGCTGTACAATGGGAAGCAAGGAGGTCAGGGGAGGGAGCCCTAGAAGAGCCATGCACTTGTGTCACTGCTGGGGAAACAGCAAGTACAGGACCCAAGAGCCACCCAAGTGCCAGCCCAGGGCCAGTGGCAGCAGGCAGCCTTGTCCTATCAAGGCACAAGGATGGTGAGCAATTCCTCCTCCTCAGAGACTGAGGACATGAGCAAATTTCCACGTAATTCCACCTTCTTGTTAGCTAATTTCCATAAATCTGTCTTTGTAAAGAGCCCCTAGAACCTGCCACTAGACCTACAGATCTAGAGATAAAAAATGTACTTCATGTTGCATCTACACTAAGCTTCCTCCTGTCCCTCCTAACAATGCAGCCAAACACTCCCTAACAAAGACACTCTCTACTCTTGTCAATATTTGAAAAGAAAAAAAAAAAAAAAATCTTTGGGAAACCCAGTCATTCCCATATCCACAGCAGGCTTTTGCACATTATCAGGAGAAATGGCCACACAGCTGATTTGCCATTTGTCAGGACAAGCAGGTAGGAAACCCCAGCAGAGGGGACAGGGCTAGGCAAGCTCCTGATGTGGACTTCTTGTAAAGAGAAAACTCTTCCCAGCTGCCCGTCCCCACCGCTGCTTTGGAGATGTCACCTCCTCTGTGGTGCAAGCAACCACCCACATCTGTGTTCTCTGAAGGAGGAACACAAGGAAGAAAAATTTGGGAAAGCAAACTGGCTACCATTTTATGTCCATGGTCTTCTGTGGGTGAGGTGACTGCAGTGACCCCCCACTGCTGGCTCCCACAGGGAAGACCAGACCCAGTGCCCCTGCAGCAGCAGAATGACTCCTGTGGAAACTCATGGTAAAAGCAAGAAATGCTTTAGGACCTACCTTCGCTGAGGGAAGTCCCTCACAGAAGAACCATGTTTATTGGAGCACTGCTCCAGCACTCTGAGACAAGCTGTAGAACTCAGAAACCACTAATGGCTCGTGAATTGTCCCAGGCTAAGCACAACACTGCCCTGTCCCAGAAAAATGCCCCCCTAAAAAAAAACAGAACCAAAAAAACCTGCTGAATTCTGGGAGTAAGATGAAATGGAGGGTCAGTGTCCCTTTTATGTCATATCATAACAAAGAATATTTAGAAGATAAATAAATCATTTTTCTCTGCTTAGAAAATCCTTCTGAGGTTCCTGTGGTGCTTTGGGTTGATGATGATGAGAGATGACATGCACAGCTTTTCACTTACAGAAAAGGAACATGGGTAACTCACATTTTCTAAACTCCTGACAAGTAACTCACCTGATGACACAGGAACAAACAAATCAAGCCATCTGTACCAATCTCACATGAGCAACTTAAATTTGAGATACAAAGGATTTCACAAAGGAAAGAGCCAAGTGTCTGAATCCATTTTAATATTGGACATTTTTTCTTAACAGCTTTAAGCATCACCAGCTCTTTTATCCAACATACTACAAGGCATCTTAAAACATTCTGTATTATAGAATGCTATCTGAATGTACCCTCTAGCATCCTCAAAGGATTGCTCCAGTTCAGCATCTGCTTAAAACACTGAGCCTTTCTGCCTGTCTTCTTTTCCCCTTTCCTGCTTGGGGCTAATCGGTCCACTTGTTTTTCCAGAAGAGCAACAATATGCTTCTCAGAATGCCTTAGATACCGAGAGACCCTTCAGTCCTCAACTACTCATAATTATAGTTCTACCTCTGGTTCACTCATCAATCAAGAAAGCAGAGATCAAGAAAGGCATTCCCTTATTTTCTAGCACAACATCATTCAGCCTAAGAACATTTTTGCAGAATGAGATGATTCATCGATATTATATTATGTGCTTATTTTCAGAAATTTCCAATCCATCTTCCCAGAAGCTGTCTGCACATTCCCCCCCTCTTTCATTTGAACAGAAGCCCCCTGCAACAGGCACACAACACTTCTGATTAGGTTTCAGAGTTTCTGCTCCATCTCCAAATTCTTTTTATCTCTCAAATTGTTGACTCTGCCATTTTTGGCAACTTTTTAACTCAATGGTGATTCTCCTCTGAACTTCTTACTCCATTCCTGGCCTCTCCCTGGTCCTGTTCTCAGCTTCAGCCTCCCTCAGACTAGTTTCCATCTCCTTCAGTTTCAGAGGGTCAAAACTTAGGCCCTTACTGACCTTTTTTGGGCTTTCTTCCTCTTTCTTATGGCCCTGTGAGCAACATCCACTGCAGTATTGCAGCCCACAGAGGTGGGTGTTCACAAACCCCTGGTCTGTGCCTGCTTCCTACTCACAACACACCCCTTCCTCTCTCACTAGCAAAAGCTTCCCTTACTTTAACCAGTAACTGGTGGTCAGTTTGGAAATACTTGCTTATACCAATCCTGTCTTGATTTATTTGCCTATGCTTTCAATTATCTTGAACTGCTTTACACCACTTGCTGCTCCAGAAACACTAATTTGTAATAAAATACTTAAGTTTTTTTATGTATCAATGCATTCCATTTCATTTGCATTACCCTCTAAACAGTGGGACCGGGCTGGTGTTCCTTACCTGTGAGCTCTCACTGAATCCACTTGTGCTTTGTCTCTGAACACTGAACTGCCCTGAAGTACGGGATTCTCAAACACAGAGAAAGATAAAGGAGACAGCACAAGTGGAGAAGACTCTGCAATTCAGTGCTTTGCACAGAACTGCTGGCTTAAAAATTGTAGCTTGTACAGAGGCTGGGAAATCTGACTTGTCATAAAATGCAACCTTTCCCCCAATAATCCAACACATTTTATGTAGTAAGAACCCAATGAAAAAGTTACCTCTTGCTTTGTTCCAGGTCTTCTGACAGGTAAGTTTTTCAAGGACAAATCCCCACCTATGTCAGTTCCTGGTGGAGCTGCTGAGATACACCTGAGGTAGCCCAGCGTGGGAATACAGCAAGGAAGAACAAAACCAAGCACAGGCCTGCTCAGAAACACCTTGAGCATGAGAAGGAATGAGCAGGGGTGATGCACTCCCACTGGAATAACAGGATTTTGTAAGATGGCTCCAAAACTTCATGCATGCTCTGATGCCTCCAGTAGGATAAACGAAGACACCACAAAGCTCCCCAATACACGAGAATGCAGCAACACATTTATTTGGGGATTACCAGGAAACCTGCAGGATATCAGTGCCTGAAAATCCCCCTAGTGAGAGATTTGTATCCTACAGCCAACAGCAGACCACTTTTTGCACCTACCAGCAGATGTTGTTTTCTAAGGGATAACGCCCAGCTGTTTTCATAAAAGCTCGGTCTTCGACAGGACAGAGGCAACAATTTATGCTAAGGGTTTTCACTAAGGACTTTTAAGAGGTTTTAAAATACAAACCTAAAAACTGTCTTGGCTTTCCAACTGGTTTAGCTTTTTGTAGAATGCACGCATTTATACACAGCATTTCTGACAGAAGGAATTTCGTGAATGCAGCATGGTGGCAATGCAGTAGCTGATTAGCCCTATGGAGAAAGTTCCTCCAAGTTGGATTTTGGTCAGTGTACAACATTCAGGACACAAAAATACTCTGGTGGTCTTTCACTTCAGCCATAATGAAAGAGACCTTCTACACTTTAGCTAAAATAAACCACACACAAACCAGAGAGAGAGGGAAAGAGAGAGAGAGAGATGGCAGATACACTGAGAATCTGCAGCGTAGATAATCAAACCCTTTATTGTCTAAGTTACATTAGACTTGCAACACCATAAAAACCTGTTAAGAAGAAGAAACAGTAGATTGGTAGAGGTAGTAGAAAGTCCCTGTAACAGTCATAAAAGGGCTTTACAGGAGTGTGTCATGCCAAAAAAACTTATCACGTTGCTTAAAAGAGCTGATCAAAGCCCATTTGACTAAATAAATAAGAACACAACTCATTTTAAATACTATGGTCTAACTAAAATAACAAATCAATACAATACAATGATAAAGGAAAAAAACCAGAAATCGTGGGATTCACTTTCCAAAACAGATGGTCCTTAAGGTTGGTTTTCCCCCACCCACTCTTATTTCTTGTTTAATTAAGTGAAAATCTCACTTCTGTGCTATACACAGCATATAATTATTTAAACTAATTTCCCCTACTGTTGTTCTTCGTGAAGCTAAATTATGATTGTAAACTTTGCTGATTAGTACCCTGGTAATGGCAGTGACAGCACTAGCTTCTCTGGCAAGGATTCGGGAAGAAAACTCCAGAAAGAAGGTTTTGGCTCTAAATATTAACTCAAATTTTCTAGTTCAGCTTGCCAAAAGGATACAATTAAAAAAAAAAGAGAGAAATTACACTACACTTCTGTGCCATTTTGGGTATAGAAGAGTTTTTAATAACTAAACCACAAACAAATAGGTTAAGCAACTAGCTTTTGTGCATTCCTGAATTGTCACCATTACTTTCTCTCATGGAAAATACGACTCAGAAAAGCAACAAAACAAAAGGAAAAAATAAAATAAAATAAAAAATAAATCAAAAACAAAGAGAAAGCTAGTGCAAACCCAAAATGATAATCGTTAAGAAACACAGCAAAATATTTAATTTTTTCTTTTCTTTTTTTTTTTTCATTTTTTTTTGGTGTACAATGGAATGTGTCTATGCGACCTCCCTCAAAATAACTTCACAGAACAGTTAATTACAGTCACTTTTAAGTACTTGCACAGACATTCCTAACTACCCCGAGACTTACAGAGAATTCTGGTTTACATCTCGTGTAATAGCATAAGGAAAATCTAGTTTAAAAAAAATAGGTAAGAAAGTTAATTTGCATTGTTGCAAGTGTTGCAAAGTAACAAAACCTGTCAAGTAATTTTAAACAAGTAACAAGTAGTATCCAGCCCAAATTACTGACTAGATCTTTTTAAAAAAGCAACCCCCCACCCACCTGTTAGAACTGTTAGAACAGAAAGATCACGTTTTAAGGTTTTTTCTGCTTTTTTTTTTTTTTTTTTTTTTAAACAAATCTTTTGTCAGAAGCCCATTTCTACAAAAACAGCACTATTCCATTACGGTATTAAGTAAACTGTGGTCTCACCTGTATTAAAGGTTAGCATCATTTCTGTACATGTAAAATTATTGCTTTTTTGAAAAATATATTTAGCATGCTAGTTGTTTTTTTTTAACTTCATTTCCTGCCTTTACAAAATGTTACAATTAAAAAAAAAAACAACAAAACTAGTAAAGCTTTTGCAAAAATTTTCACAGAACATTTTCTTTCAAGGCAGCAGTAACTTTTGATAATGCATAAAATTATATGTGCAAAATCTGAAACTTTCAGAAATATTACCATCACACATAGTGTCACAGCAATAAGAAAAGAAAATATTTATATCTGTGGAATACATTTTTAATTGCTTACACTGCATGGTTTAACAACCTGTTATGTGCCACAACCCCACCTTGAAAACTTGCAGTTAAAGAGTTACTGTAGAAGAGGTATATAAAGCTTTTTTTTTTCCTTTTTTTTTTTTTTTTTCTCTAACACCACCAGTGATCACCAAGTACAAGACATGACACATTTATATGGACATTAACCTGCCACCACAAAAGAAGTTCCTCATCTCTCCAGAACATCAGTTGGCCCAAGGAGGAGTGGCAGCTGGTCTGCTGAACCAAATGCAGGAGCAGAGAGCACCTTACGGCCCCAGGGCTGCCTGAATCCGTTCAGTGACACCTTTTCTCTTCTAAACAGACAGATCAGCGGTGTTAGACAGCTGAATGTTTTATTTTTTCCTTTTTATTTTTCATTAAGTGAAGACTTCCTTTGTGACCAGGTTGAAGAAAGTAGCCCTGTTACAAAAAAAAAAAAAAAAAAAGTCCTGAGAGTAAAACACAGAAGCCTGTTTTTTTTTCTTAGTGTTCAACTAGCTTTTGTTTTCCAAAGCAGAATAGAAGCTTTTCTCTGGAAGTGTTTCAATTTCCATATTCACATACTATTAATGGTGAGCAGTCAAGAGCAAGAGCACTAGAAATGCAAGTGGTCCCCAAACTGTAATGAAACAAACCATTGCAGAATGACGGTCTTTCTCTTTAGTCCCTTTAATCCTTCATCAAGCATTGCTTTCTCAGCAACGAATGCCACCTTTTCTCTGCACCCCCCCCTTCTTCCTCTCTCTGTTGCTGTTTTTGTGGTTTTTTTTAATTTGCTTTTCAGCATGACAAGCAGTGGCAGTTTCATTAATTAATACTTCTCCAGCCCTCGAATCCACTGCTGTTTTTCAAATGTATCAAATAGTCATTGTGAGCATCAGGGAGGTTTTTGTTACAGTGCTTAACTTCTTCATGCTGTCCAAATCACATAAAGTTTAATTTTTCCAGTGTCTCAAACTTCTCTTGATTAATATAGATGCCTTGTGCCGCCACAGTGCTTGCCAACTCCACTGTTTATTATAAAGGAAATAAGGAACCATGGGACTGATTAGTACGTCAATTTATATATATCTTGTGTAGCATCTTCATTTATTTTAAGATGATTAACAGCGCGGAGGCACCCCCCTCCTGGCAGAGCTCTGCTCCCAGCCTGGCGCAGCGGCTCCGGGTGCGGCGACGGCTGGCAGGGGGATGCTCTGGAGCGCGGGGGGCTGCCGGGGCTCCTCCACCCGGGATCTAGGTTCCCTTCCGGAGATGCAGCGTGTGGGTGACCTCTGCGCTGCCGTGGTCTCTCCCCTGCAAGAAGCACAACACGGGGAAAAGCTCATTCTCCCAGGCGTGACCCTCCAGCAAGTTCTGCCGGCATTCGTTACGCTTTATTAGCATCATGTACATTCATCTTGACCCACCACGTGAGAACACTTTGGGGGCTTTTTTTTTTAATTTTTTTTAACATCTCCACCAAGAGCAAAGAGTGTCAGGCCCATATAAAGCCCCTGATGGACTAGAATAAGAAGTTGCAGCATCTAGTGGAGCAGTTTAGAGAAGGCTGAGAACAAGGAGGGAAATAAGAGGCTTCCAAAAAGTGGAAATTATGTGCTAGCCAAAAGGGATTCACAACTAGATCAGTGCTTTAAAAAGGCTGAAGTTTGAGGTCACAGAGGCAGCTAAATGAAGAAAAACCAAATTCTTGTGCAGGTCTGTCAAATGCTAAGGCGGCTTTTTTCCCCTCTTGTCATCTTCCTTTTATTTTCTTAGACAATTTTCATGAATAATTACCACATTGAAAAAAAAAAAAATAGCAGGGATATTCTAAAATCAAGTGAAATTAAAGATAACATCATGAATAAGTGGGAGCCTGCAGCTCCCAAGAAAAGCTTTAAAATGACATTTAGAACATCACTGTCGGAACAATGCAGTTTACAATCCTGATCCTAAAACAACATGGCAAGATTAATCTTACATAAATGCATTATCCTTAAGCTAAAGTCTTGATGAAGTGAAACAGACCATTTTAAATTAATGCAACATAAAATACGGCACCCATGTAAAATCCAAGCAAGTTTCAAGCTGTGCCTATGGCAGCCCTCGAAATAGCTAAAGAAAGCCCAGCTCTGGTTGACATAATGTATTAAGTGCATCTCTTTTGTTAATAGATTTAGAAAATTCCTAATTAAACCTGGCCCGAGATTCATGACATTTACCAGTCAAAGTTTGGTTTTAAGTCGGAAAGATTTGCAACAAAATTAAAGAAAAAAAAAGCTGCTGTACAGACCGCAGTATATTTGAAATGTAGGAAACAGTAACTGAATGAGAGATGTGATAAAACTTCCTTAGTTGGATGCTGAATTTCCCGCAGTAAACTAAGAAAGATGCTTTACATTTTTGCGCGGCTGCATCATGCCTGAGAGACACAGCCACAATTCCGGGAGGAGGCATTCATCACTGGAACGCCTCGTATCGAACGGCTCCACGTACACAGGGGAGCGCGGCAGAGCATCGCGGGGCTGGGAAGAGGGAGGGGAGGGAAGGGAAGGGAAGGGAAAGGGAGGGAAGGGGAGGGCAGGCACCTTGCCCCACTTTTCCTGGGCAGAAACTGAAAAAAGGGATCTAAGTAGGGTGCTTTTTTGGGATGGACGGCCTGCAAGGTGGTGAAAGTGTGCCCACTGTCACAGACCACACAGGACAAGGGATCAAGGAAAAGGACAATCCATTCTCCCCACACTTGCAACAACAGCGCAGAGGGGATGGAGGTGGTGGGTGGCTGGGCCCCTCTCTGGCACATCTGTGCTCCCAGTTTCACTGGCAAACAGAACCTGAGCTCTGTGTGTGCCAAAACCCACCCCGGGGCTCACCCCGCTGTACTCACACCGTCCCAAGGTATGGTCGGATTTTGAACCAGCTGATAGAGAGTTGGATTGAATTCTTCCTGAAATAAAAATGTTTTCCCTTTTAAAAAGTAGCCTTTCTTCACTTTCAGAGAAAAACAGCAGATCTTTAAGTTAAACCTAAAGCTTCCATGCCAAAAGCTGCTCTCATAGCAACGTCCAGGGCTTTTCCCCAGTTAACAGGAAAAACCCAGTTTGTGTATATATTAATATGCTGGAGACAGATAAATTGCACAACACTGAAGTAAACTGCAAGGAGCACAGATACCACTGCAGTCTCCTAGCAAGGAGCAAGTGTTGGGACAAGAACTACAGCTCCTAATCCTGCCTCTAATGTTCCTAAAGTAACAGACATGCAGTACATGCATATTACTCAGATGCCAGTACAGCAGCCTCCATGGTTCCTTGATTGTTTGCATTATAATCTCCATATGTATGAACGAGACAAATTAGGTTGCCATTTATTTGTTCATTATCTATTATTTTGATTAATGGAATTCTTGTTCTCAGAATAACTATTTAAAAATAACATTTGCAATAATGAGGACTGAACTATTAATCATGATCTTTGGAAGAAACTCTGCAAGCAACTGGGGCAAGACATTTCATATGAACAAATGTCATAAATAGGACTTTTAACAGACAGTACTAGAATTCTGAGTGCAATAAAACCCAAACCAGCCAAACTCAGAAACCAATAGTTTAAATAACTTTCTATTATGGTTTTTTGCCTTTTCCCCTTCTCTGTAAAGTTGCTTTAGGACAAGCAGAGATATAGTATTGCTGGACTATAAAAACATTACAGGTAACAGATGTCCCCAGCTTTTCCCCCAAGCTCCTTTACAACACTCACATACAGACACGTATATAGCATTTTCTTGATGGTTCTTTCCAGTCTTTCTATCCCCCAAGTTCGAGCTACTTACATTTATGCTATTTCAAGCATTGCATGCTGCAAGAAATATTTCAAAATACTTATAGTGAAGAAAAAAAGGGTTTATGGACCTCTTAATGAAGTGTCACACAGTACCCTTGTCCCACAGCAGGTACAGGACCTACTGCACACCTGTCTTTTCAGTGAATGAGGCCCAAAAACTGTGGTGTCCAGAGCTGCTTCACAAAAAAAGGCTGATCACTGCCTTCTGACACAGGGAAAGCTTCAGCCAGAGAATTCAGGATACCGACAGTTTGGGTTTTTTCCCTGGGCTGCAGCTTTTAATTGATTTTCTGTAAATAAAAGGCTGTTTTTCTGAAGAGGGCAAAGGCTGGAGTTTTGGGGGTTTTCCTTGTTTCACTCACACAGAAGATGGAGAATTTGGTGTCTCTGGCTCCAGTGCTGCAAATATGGTTCACATACATATAGACTCAATTAGAGAGAGCTCTCCTCATTGCTAACCAGGAAATCATGCCTTTTGAACACCCAATTTCTTGTCCCTTAAAATTTTTAGAGCTTATTGATTTGACACTGATAGAGAATAAACTATATTCCTGGAGTGGGCCGAGTTTTTACACGGCTTTAAAAACACTGAAGGAGAAGTCAAACGCACGGCGTACGCGCTAGAAACTGCTACCGCTGCTGTCACCACCGTGAAAAAGCAGGCTCCAGACTGACTCCTGTACCACTGGGAATTGGGCTTCTGGCTGCAGCATCAGGCAGTGCCTCTGAAATGACCCCACGCTTTAGGAGAGCCTTGCCTTGAGACACACGTGCTTGCAGGGCCCCTTCTGAAGGGGAGCCAGCTTTTGTCTTGCCATGTATATGCAATTGGAGTGTGCTCCCCGAATTCATGCCTGCTAAACCGTGTCTCTGGCTGGCTGCTTAAGAGTATTCCAAATTAAGATACATATTCATTGTGGATAAGCAAGTTTAATTATGTATATACTGGGATATTTAGCATTTATAAAAATATTCAGAATATTCAGTATGTTTAATATGGCAGCTTTTCAAGAGAATCCACATGACTTAGCACAGATTGTATTGACTTGGGGTATGTAATGAGCATTTTTTGTCCTTTAGATAAAGAAGAGCAGGAAACATTCCAAAGTTCATGGGAAATTCATTTTATGTAAAAATGTCATTTTGTTGGAGTTTTTTTTTTGAAGCATTCAGGTAGAAATAAGAAACCATAATAAATATTGTTATGAATGAACATCGTATTTCCTACATTTTATTTATATCTCATTGGTGCCAATAACAAAGGACAAAACACAGCCCAGTGCTAACAGCACTGTGTGTTCGATCGTTTTTACACACTCCTATAGGTGACCTCCTTTTCAGGGACGCTGAACACCTGCACCTCCTGTTGGTGGTTCACTATCCTAAAATAGGACTCTTATTTAGACACTTAAATATAGATTTAAGCTGGTTCATTTTTGAAAAAGCCTGGCTGTAGACCCTATTTTTAACATGCAGAATTAGAATTATTCTGTGATAAAACTGCTATTCAGTGTAGCACTGTTGTGAGCTACCATGCTGGGGGATTTTAAAAGCCCTACCTAACATTATTTCCTAAAGGAAACCTTTAGAGATGATCTTCTGGCTGACTAGAGAAGGGAATGGGGGAACCGTGAAATACTAATGTTAATATTTTTACTCTTTAGCAGACTACTCAGGGGAAGATATTTTACCTGTGAGGTGGAAACATTATGTAAAGTGAATCATTTCCACTTGACATCAAAAAAAACCCCCTCTTTCCTTCTCAAACTACTGTACATGATAACCATTGTTTCTTGCTCGGAGCATGTGCATGGCACTTCTGTAACTTGAACTGACTTTACACCGTAAACTCTCATGAATAGATCTGTCCCCAATTAAGAAATGAAATGAAGACATGGAGTGACAACGTTTAAAGTGGGAAATGGTAATGTTAACGGAGTGCTGCAGGCACCGTTCTCACCGAGAGCTCATTTCCGCGCTTCTGAAGGCCCCTGCAGCTGCCTGTGGAAATGAGAGCGTTCCTCTGTAACGCCCAGGGACTGTGCAGGTGGAGTCTTCTGGGGCAGCACAACGCCTGCCTGCGACCAGAGCCGGCAGAACAGCAGACAACTGAATAATCCCACCCGACACAGACGCTGACAAATTGAGACAAAGGCTGGTACTGAGGAGCAAACGAGACAAAAGAAAGGGGACGATCTCCTGCAGAAGTGATCACACTGCTGCATCTTCTGTGGAAGAAATACTGACTGGCACAAGCTGAAGCCATTCAAGAAGCTAAGCCCTACTCGGTGTTCTGCTGTATTCAGAGATGCTGCAATGTAATCAAATGCTTCAAAGGCAGACTGGCAGACAGAACAAGAGAGAACAAGCTACCTTTGCCATGGATGAAGTTAGTCAATAAATTCTGGCGTGACAAGAGTTTGCAAAGACAAGAATATAAGTTGATTTATTGTGCAGTAATATAACCCAAATGACAAAGAGAGTCCAGATGTGGTCTGAGCTGCCACATTTCTTTCTGAATATAAACAGCCATTCCAGAATTATCTGGAAATGTATTTCCAACTTTGACCTTATATTGTCTTCTAGAAGAAAGCCCAGATGCCTTCAGAATGTGATCTCAACTACACATAAGAGAAAACCATGAGCATGAAAAGATAAAAGAGCATTTTAGAAGATGCTTAGGTTTACTAAATCTATGTTACTATGAGAACCAAAGAGTAGCTGAGCAAGCTGGCACAGCTGCAGTGTGTCACTCTGTCACATTGACTGTGTCTGTGTCTCCGTCATTCACTCTGTTACCCAGAGAGGTGTTCTTGCACAATTGTATCAGATAAGCATCATAAGGGGGACACTGCTGCGGAACTTTGTGGCTACTGTTCCACAAAAGCAAAGGAAACACTGCCCACAACAACAACAACAACTGAAGTGCTATGCCATCTTGGAACCTCCATGAGAATTGTCGGCCACTCCTATGGCTTGGTGTCAATTCAGACACTCCTGTGACAGAGGCTGGGTTCTCCATGCAGCCTTTGGGCCAGAAATAAGGTGCCAAGGACACAGAGAAGGTGCCAGGAGTCTTCGAGAAGGGTGCAACATATTAACTAGGCAGTGTAGTGGTGCCCAGTGAGAATGTTTACTGGACAAGTAAAATCTAATTCCTAAACTTCACAATGCTGAGAGTAGCATGGAGATGCATTCTCTAAGTATGGTTAAAAACATCTTCAGTAGTTTAGCAAGAGGACAGGATAACAGGGGCTGCTATAGTGAAAATTAAACTAAAAACAAGGATGAAAGGAAAAGTGAGTGATGCTGAAGGCAGTTTCACAATGGAAGAGATGTGCCCAGGTGTGTCCTGAAACAAACCTACTAAGCTGCAAATGGAATGGGAAGGTCCAGGCTTTGGACACTATTCTCCAACAACTTAAGATACACAAAAACAAATTCAGTTTAATGATTTTCTATGTAACAGCTTTGTCATGTATAATTCAGAGCTCTGAGAAGTGTTTGTTAAGACAGGAAACTGTACACTAGAAGCAGGAAAGCACACTAACAGAGTCCATGGAAACAAGTGGATGAGAGCTTTTCAAAGGCCTGATACTGGCCATCAGGATACAAATACTCTTCAGAAAAATACAGACTAAACGTTAGTTGTCTTGTGTCAGCAGAAAAGGTGTTAATTGTTAAAGCAAATTTCCAGGAATTCTTTATGTACTACCTCACTGTTATATGTCAGTGCACATTAGAGTTACCAATCCCACCCAGCCCCCAGTAAGGCAGTAACATGTTTATTTAAACACTATCTACCTGCTTTACAATTCACTCTCTATATATCAGATTCTGATAAAATACTCTAAAAATTTAAGCGCTAAAAATTCAGCAATACCCTTTTTATTTATACATGTTATAAAACAGTCAGAGCTTTACTGATGAGTATCACTGCACAATTTTTTCCCAGCTACCACATTAAAAACCAAACACCCAATTAATTGTAAAACATACTTGTTTTGGGGCATCTGCGGAGGTGGTGTGAACTTCAGTACCTCGGAGTCCATTAGACTCAAATACCACTGTGGGAACAAGGGGGCTTGTTAACAGATGAACATTCAAGCTTCGTTAGTGTGTGTACATTATTTGAGACCATTACAGATTAACCACGTTCAAAAAAAGACACCAGCTAGTAGCCTGTGGCCGGAAAATACCAATTTACCGTAACACTTACTGTAAGAGAGTGTGCTAATGGCAGCCTAGGGCCACTGCCCTTTTTAATTCAGACTTCAGCACTGAAGAAAGCAATCACTGACAACATTAATTATCAGTGTATGTGTAAAGGGACCCTCTTCTTGCATTACTTACCATTTGGCTTCTGTCATTTTGCATCAGACTGGCTTATGTATGCATCATTCACACTTTTGAGGAGGAACCTGCTACTCTCACTGTCTCATGCAATGCTCAGGAGGGCTCACGACACTGGTGGCTTCAGCCTCCTCCAGCCTCAACTACAGACTACATCAGGTTAAGAAAGGCTGGTAGGGATTTCCCATTTCAGGGCTGACCAGTCTGAGGAAAAATCTTGTTTCCCACAGAAATGTTCCTGTCACCAGCAACGACGAGGCAAAACAAAGCCTTATGTTGTGCTGAAAGGGGTACTTTGATTTCAATTTGTGCTGGTGGCAACAGAATTCATTAGCATATTCATTTCTGAGTACCCTACTCTCTAATTAAAATAAAACATTTGCAAACAGACTTATCTTAAATGCATTGCAATTTTATGGATTTCGGGCAGGGATCAGGTAAGCAATATTTGGAGAACAAGAGCAATAGTCATAAAAATAAAAAATCTGTCTAATAGATTTAGGTACTGGAATTACTTAGGTTAACACGTTATGTGAAATGTAATTCTTGGCATTTTGTTAGCTGAATCTGAAAGCAGGCAAGTGGGAAAGGGAGAAAGCAAGAGCGAGTGTGAAAAGATACCTGTGTGGGACCTCTGATGAGTCCTGAGGTGGCTGGGTTGGGTAAAGCATTTTCCACATTCTCTGCAGACACAGTCTCCTTGGCGTGTTTGTGTCCTGAGCATCCCTGTAGTCAGGAGAGAGGGAGGGGAGGAGGGGGGGTGGGGTGG